TTGATCAGTTCACCTTCGCGTTTACGGTTCGATTCGATCTAGAAATCAATATATCGATTGAACTGTATTTAGTTTTGAAGACATTAGATAAGTAAAATACCGTAAAGTTACACTTAATTAATTAAAAGTTACAGTTTTTCAAATATCTTTTATGTGTTAGCTTTGAAAGCTTCTTATCATTATCAATCTATGCCTCGCCTAGGACTGGTCTCAAACTTACATGAAGTTTTTTTCTGAACTTTTCATAAATGTGCTTTAAACTAAGGACTTTTTATGAGGGATCTATTCTAGAAGCACTCCTTTAGTTCTTTTCGCTTTCTGAATTCTAAGTACTCCTGCGCTACTAAGAAAACTAGAAAAAACCCACGCAGTGCACTAGCCACGCCTACTAATTCTATCTTGCATTGAAGCAAATAACTTTTGCACTTTATTTAACGTGCCCTACTGTAGCAGTCAAGCATTACTGATTAGCTAGCTATCGAATTAAACCATAGAGAACTGCAAAAATATTGATGAATGTAGATTTCTGGTGATACCTGGCTATCGGTCGTTCCCTCAGCATCTTCAAGACGATCAGTGAGGGCGATCAGTTGCACGCTGAGATCAGCGCGTTCGCGTTCGATCTGAACAAAATTGTAAAATATGGAATTGATACGATTGAATATGTGTATTAAATGATCTACATAGTAGATGGAAATGGGTGGCTATCGGAAAAAAACCCGATAGCGTGAAGTGATCGACAAGTTTTTCTTTCTTCATCACCTGTGAATGTTTTTTTTGGACTGATGTGTTCTGGTGTGAATTGGCTACCAGATGTGAGCTAATGTGATTTCATTTCAGAAAGATTCTGGAATTGCGACAGAATCGGGTTAAGATGGAGAAAAGAGCTAAAAATTGTTAGCTTTTTTTTGCTAGCCATGAGTAAATTTGCAGAATTCATGTCATTGGAAAAGAGAACTAAAGAGCAAGACTGGGAAGGGGAACTGTGATCTTTAGTATAGTTTAGATGCATTTTTTAAAAACTCTCACATACACTGCGAATACTAAGGGCTTTGCAATGTACTAAAATCAGTGTTTGTGAATCTAGTACATGTAAAAAAATCAAAGAACTTACTCTGTTTCTAAGCTCGCGCTCGGATTCGAGGTCTTCTTGGAGAAGCCTGATCTTATCCTGAAAACATGTGAATCAACTGAGAACAAAAAGAGATTCAAGGTTGCTAATCCGCTAGAATAGCTGTAGTATGCTCTTAGAGAGGTTTTCTCTCTAATTACAGCGATGAATGAGTAACTTGCACCTGCCACGTGGGCGAGAAAATGTTGTTATGGTGGATAAATGGAAATTAGCAATAATTTCCGAAGGAAACAAACATTGCGTCAATGTGTCCAAATAGGGTTGATTAAATTGAAAGGCGCACCTCGAGACGAGTAAGTGAGCCGAGATCGGCGACAGACATGCTGCCAAAAGGTGCGCCAAAGGCGCTCATCGATGGTGACTTGTATACAGCGGCCTGCGATGGCGATCTGTACAGATTGGCTGACATGGTCGGTTGTAGTTAAACGGGTACAAGTATGAAGAGTAGTATCGAAGTTTGAAGTCTGTAGTTGTATGGGGGCTAGCACGCGCTCTATACACCCGACACGTCTGACGACTGCGCTCGTTGGCTGACAGGCAGGCTGGCTGTGGCTGTGGCTGTGGCTGGCTTGGGCTACTGAGGCACACGATTCACGGCCGTACCCGCTGTAAAGCTCGAATCCCGAAATATCTCTGCTCGTCGTCGCCGCCGTTTCCAC